AATCGGAATTTCTTCTTAAAGTTTTCGTTTTTTATCTTTTCTGTTATCTTTAAATGATCATAACTGGACATCTCATAATTGTAATTTGAAATATTTTTTGGAGGATGACAAAAACGACGGTAAAGTGGATTTTCTACAATTGAACAATGAAGTGCAAACGGTTCTGAAACAATTTGGAGTTTCTACAGTAAAATGTCGAGTGAGTTATTTAGTTTTGTCAATGTGGAGTTTAAAAAATTTTCTAGCGAAAAGTTTGTTTTTGTGTTTATTCAATAATTTCATGAGTAGTTCATCGATCTTTTATAATGTGCATAATGGTGAGTATTCTCGCTGATAACATTTTGATCGTTTTGTTGCCATCATATAGGTAAGGGAATGGTTACTTGTTATCAAGGCAAGGTAAGGGAATAAGTAAGAGAATGAGAAAGTTATTTCTCTTTCAGCCAGTGAAGAAGAATTTCGCCTATAATGATGGAATTATTCCGAAGACAGCCGAGGTTCTAGAAGTGCAATATGCAGTGAGTTTATTTTTTTCAATCATTGTTTCATTGTTTTCATTTGATCTATTGTTGGATTCACAATCGAATTCTCTGAAATGTTCTCTTCGGATGATATTCACATTTGATAAGTCATCAATAGCGCATTTCAGAGCAATTACCCAAAGCTGCCAACCGATTTGAAAGGGAATACATTCAGTCATGTGTTCAACATGACTGCAACTGCAATGGAGCGTTTGTTGATGGAAGTGGACATGCGAGGTCCATCATGGCTGGAAGTGTCAGATTATGGTTTGTGAATTTATTCATTTGTTTTTTTTTTACATTTCTGACGATATTTGGAAGAATCATAAAAGTTGCTGTCAGTTTTGAAAAGAAAAGCAGCGCTAAAATTGTATCAAAATCGCTCACAAACTCGTCAGAAATTGCAGAGTTTTGAATTTCATACGAAATGTTTTCAAAAAGAAGTTTTTTAATCGATAAGTCAATGAGGAATTCGCATTTTTTGTTGTATGATTTCAGTTGTTTCATCACCCCAACAGACTTATATGAAGCATGAATTCATGGTGGACATGGAACGAATGAAGTCGATTAGCGTTATTCAATGCAACGATCCAATGCCTCACGTTACTCTGATG